ATTTTATTTCCATCATTTACACTTTCAAAATAACAGAAAACAAAAAAATGGCGTCTGCAAAAGTTTGGGCACCCTGCAGAGTTAATATCTTGTACTGCCCCCTTTGGCAAGTATCACAGCTTGTAAACGTTTTTTGTAGCCAGCCAAGAGTCTTTCAATCCTTGTTTGAGGTATCTTTGCCCATTCTTCCTTACAAAAGTCTTCCAGTTCTTTGAGATTTCTGGGCTGTCTGTCACGCACTGCTCTTTTAAGGTCTATCCATAGATTTTCAATTATGTTGAGGTCAGGAGATTGTGAAGGCCATGGCAAAACCTTCAGTTTACGCCTCTTGATGTAATCCCCTGTGGATTTTGAGGTGTGTTTAGGATCATTATTCATTTGTAGAAGCCATCCTCTCTTTAACTTCAGCTTTTTCACAGATGGCATCAAGTTACCATCCAAAATTTGCTGAAATTTTATTGAATCCATTTTTCCTTCTACTCGTGAGATGTTCCCTGTGCCACTGGCTGCAACACAACCCCAAAGCATGATTGATCCAACCCCATTATTAACAGTTGGACAGAGGTTCTATTCATTAAATTCTGTGCCCCTTCTTTTCCAAACGTACCTTTGCTCATTCCGGCCAAAAAGTTAAATTTTAACCTCATCGGTCCACAGAACTTGTTTCCAAAATGCATCAGGCTTGTCTATATGTTCATTTGCAAAGTTCAAACGATGATTTTTGTGGTGAGGACGTAGAAGAGGTTTTCTTCTGATGACTCTTCCATGAAGACCATATTTGTACAAGTATCTCTTTATAGTGGAATAGTGTACCACAACTCGTGTCTGCCAGATCTTTCTGGAGGGATCGTGCAGTCAAACGTGGGTTTTGAATTGTTTTTCTCACAATCCTGCGAGCTGTTCTGTCTGATATTTTTCTTGGTCTTCCAGATCTTGCTTTAACTTCCACTGTTCCTGATGACTGCCATTTCTTAATTCCATTCCGAACAGAGGATATTGACATCTGAAAACGCTTTGCTATCTTCTTATAGCCTTCTCCAGCTTTGTGAGCGTCAACTATTTTCAGTTTCAGTTTTCTAGACAACTGCTTAGAAGAACCCATGGTGCTGATTGTTGGGGCAAGGTCAGATGAGTCTGGGCATTTAAAACCTTTGAGATTGACATCACCTGGTCTGCCCAGACGATGATTGAGAACAATCCATGACACTGGCAGGTCTCAGCTTTGCAAAGGGGGCAGTGCATGCTATAAATTCTGCAGGGTGCCCAATCTTTTGCAGACGCCATTTTTTTTTTTGTTTTCTGTTATTTTGAAAGTGTAAATGATGGAAATAAAATCTAACTTTTGTTGACATATTATAAGAATGTCTAATCTGTAATTTGATGCCTTTTGGAGATTTTTCCATCTTTCCTTGGCTTCTTTATGCACATTAATACAAAATTTTTAGCTGGGGTGCCCAAACTTTCGATCCCCACTGTACTAATACCGCATCCAGTTCCGGTCAGGTAGGGAGAACGGCAACGCAGACGCACGCTCTCGAGTCCCTGTAGGGTTGCCGTCTCAGAGTGCCGATGAGGAGCTAGAGGACACTGAAACTCCTGACCTTGGTCGATTAGCCATGTTCCAGGACGTGACACATTCAAGTGGGGTGGCGTCCGGGATGCCAATGGTGCTGGGAAAGACATTGGCTGATTGGGAGAGGGTCCAGAATAGCTGCCCGGACCTGTGGAAAGTGAAAGAATGGGTCCAGACCAAGATCTGGCCTCGGTCAGGAGAGCGGGGTTGGCCGACTTCCGAGGGCCAAAAGTTGTTGAGGCAATGGGATAAACTGACTGTTACCCAGGGTCTCCTGTGTCGGACCATATACTTGCAGTGAGAGTTGCAGTACCAGCGACAAATTGTCATCTCCATGTCATTGGGACCGGAGGCTGCCCAAGAAGCCCATGAGAGGGGTGCTCATTTTCGGAGCGATAAAACGTTCAAGTGGCTCCAACGGCTCGTGTACTTTCCAGATTTGGCAGACATGGTTGCCGTGGCATGTCTTAAGTGTCGGCCCTGTGGGCTGAGTAAGAGTACTGAACAGCGGGCTCCTGTCCATGCCATCAGGACATCAGCACCCCTAGAGCTCCTTATGATCGATTATGTACAGATTGGGTACTCTACCTCAGGACACTCGTACTGTCTAGTCATGACAGATCATTTCACAAAGTATGCGGTGGCTGTACCCACCAGAGACCAGATGGCAGAGTCGGCCGCTGAAGCGGTCTGCAAACACTTTATACAGGTGTTCGGGTGTCCACAGAGAATACATTCGGACCAGGGGGCATGTTTTCAGGGTACTCTAATGAATGAGTTGTACCAACTGTATGGGATCAAACGTTTCCGCACCACCCCGTATCACCCCCTGGGAAACAGGGCGTGCAAGCGGTTCAACCGCACCTTGCTCCAGATGCTGCAGACTCTGGAGGACCGCCAAAAGGCTCGGTGGCCCGAATACCAACCTGAACTGATGTGGGCCTATAATAACAGGGTACACAGTACCACCGGATACTCCCCGCATATGCTCGTGTTTGGGAGAGCCGGACGGGAGATTGAAGATCTCCACATGCCTGATCCAATGGAGCCACCACCAAGAAATACTACCGCATGTGTGCAAGAGCACCGGCTGAGAGCGATCCACAAGGTTGTGGGGGAGCGCCTAGACAAGTGGTATACCCCAATCCAAGAACAGTGAAGAAGGTGGGGTATGCCCCGGGTGATTGAGTGATAGTCAAAGCCAAGGGGCCGTCTGGATAGTTGGATGGGCGGTGGGAGGCGGTCCCATACACGGTGAAGAGGAGGGTAGACTCTGCCATCCCGGTCTATGAAGTAGAGCCAATAGGGACTGGGGCCCTCACGAAACTTGCACCGTAACATGTTGAGGTGTTGTAATTTTGATAAACCAGTGTGCGTGGAGGGGATGGCTCCTCCTGCTCAGAGTACAGAGGAAATCCCCTTAGAGGAGGGGGAGGAATGGAGGGTTGTCCCTGCCCCGGTTCCCTCAGAGGCTCCAACCATAGTAAGTTTGCCACCAAGGGAAAGTGTTGAGCGGTCAGCAGCGCCTCTCCCATTAAATGTGCCTGACGTCCCCAGTGCTTCTGAGCCTGTCACTCTACGAAGGTCAACAAGGCCCAATGCTGGTGTTCCCCCACAGTGCTATGCCCAGAATGAGTTTGTATGGGGAGGGTTGCCGAGGACGACAACCTCTAGTGGGGTGGCATGTGAGATGGGAAAACATCTCTCATTGTTTGAACACTGTTTGTGTGCAGTAAATTATTGTGTGGAGTAAATTAAATGTTCTGGAGTGACATTCTGCGATTTAGCCACAAGATGCCATTGTTTTTGTAACACAGCCTCATACTGCATAGATAGTTCTATATTCATGAAGAGGTGGGGTTTTCACTCAGAGTTTTAGAGAACAGGAAGGAGAGAGACAGCAGCCATGTTTAGAGGATGGTGAATGCAGGAGCCATGTGAGCAGAGAATCTGATGGCATCCAGGTGTGAGAGCATCCCTCAGTAACCAGAGCTGCAGCTAGGTGAAGCTGATCGTGTCCAAGACCCTGATCCAGTTCAGAGAAAGGAAGATTGCTTCCAGGAATGCTGATGAGAGCAGAGGAACAAAGCAACATACACTGCGATACCGCATGCTTGTTGGAGAGACATTTGTTCTGTTCAGAGTCATCAGCGGATGCAAAGCAGACCCGGGTCGGTAAGATCGTGCACGCACCTCATTTCAGTGTTGGCGCCTAGAGACTGAGTCCAGGCCTATAGTTAGTTAGTTAGGGTCTCTGCTTGTGTCAGGCCACAAGTGTTGTTACTGATCATTGGAAGGACTCCACAACTTAAAGTGATATTTCACATTGGAGAGCTGATAACATCCCACAAACTCAAGCCAGACTGGCATTTTGCTCAGAAAGAATACTCAGGCACGTGCTACAGGACCCATTATGGGAGGGGAATACTGTAGATTTGTGTAAGATTGTATGCTGTTGTGCTGCACCGCAGGCTAGCCCATACCATACACCCATACACTGATTCCTGCTCTATTAGGGTAATAACAGGTAACGTTAATGCACAAAATGAAGAGATATCCTCCTGCGCTTGAAATGGGGCCCTAACCCTAAAGCTGCTGCCACTAACCTTATACCTAATAGGTGAAGTGACTCATATATACAAAAAAGTGTAGCGCTAAATAAAACTAAACAAATAATAATAAATAATGTGACGTACTCGATCCCCTTAAAACACACAAAACAGGGATAACACACAAATTGTGCAACACGTGGCTTCCCACTAAGGGAATCTAGCAAGTGCAAGTGATAAATACTAAAATAGTGACTTCACACAAAAATCAATATAAACCTCAAAACAGTCCACACACAGTGCATATAAATGTATACACTATATATAATCCAATGAAGGTTCTCCAATCCAACTGTCATGCAAGTGACTGTGTATAATTCGTGATCAATCCTTTAGTGACCTGAGTGCCCCCTCACCTCCTTGCCTCGACCCTACAGGGTCAGCTCGCTCAAAGGATAACACCAATCCTGATAAGGGCAGGTTCCTCACAGGCTTAACACAATTTGTGTGTTATCCCTGTTTTGTGTGTTTTAAGGGGATTGAGTACGTCACATTATTTATTATTTGTTTAGTTTTTATTTAGCGTTACACTTTTTTGTAATAACAGGTAAGGTGTGGCAGCTTAGTTGTGCCCCCCAGTAGGTAAATTACTACACCTTCTACCTTCATCCATCAGGAGGCGCTGTGCTGTGCAGCACAAGGGTCTCAGCCTTTGGGCTGGGTGTATGTAAATTTATTGTATATTCCGGCATTTGTGGTTGTGTTTATTTGCCACATCTAAGAAAAATTCTGTTGTGGCAAAAGCTGGTGTTGGGGTTGCTTTCCTCGTTCGTGACTTCACTGTATCCTGGGGAGCCCACCCCGGTACACGGCTTACACAGTCATAGTACAGGAGATGACCAGAGCCTGCAGACACAGTACAGGAGATGACTAGAGACTGCAAACATAGTAGAGGATATGAACAGACACTGTGGACATAGTACAGGAGATGACCAGAGACTGCGGACGTAGTACAGGAGATGACCAGAGACTGCAGACAGTACAGGAGATGACCAGAGACTGCGGACATAGTACAGGAGATGACCAGAGACTGCAGACAGTACAGGAGATGACCAGAGACTGCGGACACAGTACAGGAAATCACCAGAGACTGCGGACACAGTACAGGAGATGACCAGAGACTGTGGACATAGTACAGGAGATGACCAGAGACTGCGGACACAGTAGAGGAGATGACCAGAGACTGCGGACACAGTACAGGAGATGACCAGAAACTGCGGACACAGTACAGGAGATGACCAGAGACTGCGGACACAGTACAGGAGATGATGAGAGACTGCGGGCACAGTACAGATGACCAGAGACTGCGGACATAGTACAGGAGATGACCAGAGACTGCGGGCACAGTACAGGAGATCACCAGAGACTGCGGGCACAGTACAGGAGATGACCAGAGACTGCGGACATAGTACAGGAGATCACCAGAGACTGCGGAAGTAGTACAGGAGATCACCAGAGACTGCGGACATAGTATAGGACAGCGGTTCTCAACCTGGGGGTCGCGACCCCTTTGGGGGTCGAACGACCATTTCCCAGGGGTCGCCTAAGACCATCGGAAAACACATATTTCCGATGGTCTTAGGAACCGAGACACCGCTGCAGTCTCCGGCGATGTGTGGGCGGGATGATACGCTGCTGTCACCCGGCCACACCTCCAAGATCGCTCAGCAGCTCCGCCTCCTCGCCGCTGATTGGCCACCGGAACTGTAGCTCAGGAGAGGCACACAGGCGGCCAATCACCGGCGAGGAGGTGGAGCTTGGAGAGGAGGAGCCAAGCGGCAGCGCGCGGACATCAAAGAAGACCGAGGGAGCGAGTGAAGAGGAGAGCGGCCAGAGAAGGAAGACAGCTGACAGGTAAGTGAGAGAGCGAGCCCAGGCTGGAGCAGGGGTCAGCAAGGTAAGTATCATTGGTGTCAGTGGGAGGAATAGTGCCCCATCATTTGTGTCACTAATACCAACGATGGGGCACTATTCCTCCCCCCACTGACACCAACGATGGGGCACTACTCCTCCCCCCACTGACACCAACGATGGGGCACTATTCCTCCCCCCACTGACACCAACGATGGGGCACTATTCCTCCCCCCACTGACACCAACGATGGGGCACTATTCCTCCCCCCACTGACACCAACGATGGGGCACTATTCCTCCCCCCACTGACACCAACGATGGGGCACTATTCCTCCTCCCACTGACACCAACGATGTGGCACTATTCCTCCCCCCCACTGACACCAACGATGGGGCACTATTCCTCCCCCCCCCACTGACACCAAGTGATGGGGCACTACCTCCCCCCACTGACACCAGTGATGGGGCACCTCCCCCCACTGACACCAATGATGGGGCACTATTCCTCCCCCCACTGACACCAACGATGGGGCACTATTCCTACCCCCCCCACTGACACCAACGATGGGGCAGTATTCCCCCCTCCCCCCACTGACACCAACGATGATGGGCAGTATTCCTCCCCCCACTGACACCAACGATGGGGCACATATTCCTCCCCCCACTGACACCAACGATGGGGCAGTATTCCTCCCCCCACTGACACCAACGATGGGGCAGTATTCCTCCCCCCCACTGACACCAACGATGGGGCACTATTCCTCCCCCCCACTGACACCAACGATGGGGCACTATTTCCCCCCCCCCCTGACCCCAATGATGGGGCACTATCCTCCCCTCCCTCCACCACACTGACACCAATGATGGGGCACTATTCCTCCCCCACTGACACCAATGATGGGGCACTATTCCCTCCCCCCACTGACACCAGTGATGGGGCACTACTCCCCCCACTGACACCAAGTGATGGGGCACTACTCCCCCCACTGACACCAGTGATGGGGCACTATTCCCCCCCACTGACACCAGTGATGGGGCACTAACTCCCCCCACTGACACCAATGATGGGGCACTACCACTGCCACTGACACCAGTGATGGGGCACTACTACCCCCCCCACTGACACCAAGTGATGGGGCACTACTCCCCCCACTGACACCAATGATGGGGCACTATTCCTCCCACTGACACCAGTGATGTGGCACTATTCCTCCCCCCCCACTGACACCAATGATGGGGCACTACTCCCCCCACTGACACCAATGATGGGGGCACTTACTCCCCCCACTGACACCAATGATGGGGCACTACTCCCCCCACTGACACCAAATGATGGGGCACTATTCCTCCCCCACTGACACCAATGATGGGGCACTATTCCTCCCACTGACACCAGTGATGGGGGCACTACTCCCCCCACTGACACCAACGATGGGGCACTACTCCTCCCACTGACACCAACGATGGGCACTACTCCTCCCACTGACACCAACGATGGGGCACTACTCCTCCCCCACTGACACCAACGATGGGGCACTACTCCTCCCACTGACACCAACGATGGGGCACTACTCCTCCCCACTGACACCAACGATGGGGCACTACTCTCCTCCCCCACTGACACCAACGATGGGGCACCTACTCCTCCCACTGACACCAACGATGGGGCACTACTCCTCCCACTGACACCAACGATGGGGCACTACTCCTCCCACTGACACCAACGATGGGGGCAACTACTCCTCCCACTGACACCAACGATGGGGCACTACTTCCTCCCACTGACACCAACGATGGGCACTACTCCTCCCCCACTGACACCAACGATGGGGCACTACTCCTCCCACTGACACCAACGATGGGGCACTACTCCCCCCACTGACACCAACGATGGGGCACTACTCCTCCCACTGACACCAACGATGGGGCACTACTACTCCCTCCCACTGACACCAACGATGGGGCACTACTTTCCTCCCACTGACACCAACCTGATGGGGCACTATTCATCCCACTGACATCAGTGGGGGCACTATTCCTCCCACTGATACCAACAATGGGGCACTATTCCATCCCCCACTGACACCAAGTGATGGGGCACTACTACCCTTCCACCAAAATTACAGTTTATGAAGTAGCAATGGGGCATTTTATGGTTGGGGGTCTCCCCCCACAAACATGACACCTGATGGGGCACGGGCATTCCTCCCCCCAGGTTGACAACCACTGCTGTTGAGGGATGGGGGTGTAGGATCCTCCCCCCTCCCAAAAACACACACACATGATAGGGGCACTATTCTCATCCCCCCACTGCTGGACACCAATAGGGGGCACTATTCCTCCTAATCTGACACACTCAATGATGGGGCACTATTCAGTCCCCCCCTTTGTACAACCTCTGTGGCACTATTCCCTCCCCCCACAACACCAATGATGGGGCACTATTTCCTCCCCCCACTGACACCATATGGGCCACTATTTCCCCCAACCTGGGACACCAACCTTTGGGGGCACTACCATTTCCCAGGGTCGCCTGACACCATCGATGAAAACACATATTTCCGATGGTCACTAGGAACCAATGATGGGGCACTACCCTGCAGTCTCACACGATAGTGTGGGCGGGATGATACGCTGCCCCCCACCACACCCAAGATGGGCTCAGCACACTACCTCCCACTCCACACCGCTGATGGGGCTAACACCCCCCACTGACTGTAGCCAGGAGAGGCACACTAGGCGGGCCAATCCCACTGACACCAATGGACGCTTGGAGGCACTATTCCAAGCCCAGCTGCGCATCAAAGAAGACCGAGGCACTATTCCTCCCCCACTGACCACCAATGAAGGGGACACTACTTCAGGTCCCTCTGAGAGACGAGTCCCCAGGCTGGAGCACAGGGGGTCAGCCAAGGTAAGTGATGGGGCACTTGGTGTCAGTGATGGAGGAACTCCCTCCCCCTGACACCAATTTGGGTCACTAATACCAACTGATGGGGCACGATGGGGCACTACTCCCCCCCACTGACACCAACGATGGGGCACACTACTCCTCCCCCCACTGACACCAACGATGGGGGGCACTATTCCTCCTCCCCCACTGACACCAACGATGGGGCACTATTCCCCCCCACTGACACCAATGATGGGGCACTATTCCTCCCCCCACTGACACACCAACGATGGGGCACTATTCCTCCCCCCACTGACACCAACGATGGGGCACTATTCTCCTCCTCCCACTGACACCAACGATGTGGCACTATTCCTCCCCCCACTGACACCAACGATGTGGCACTATTCCTCCCCCCCACTGACACCAATGATGGGGCACTACTCCCCCCACTGACACCAATGATGGGGCACTACTCCCCCCACTGACACCAACGATGGGGCACTATTCCTCCCCCCACCCCCCCACTGACACCAACGATGGGCACTATTCCTCCCCCCACATGGAGACACCAACGATGGCAGTATTCCTCCCCCCACTGACACCAACGATGGGGCACTATTCCTCCCCCCACTGACACCAACGATGGGGCACTATTCCTCCCCCCACTGACACCACCAACGATGGGCAGTATTCCTCCCCCCCACTGACACCAACGATGGGGCACTATTCTCCTCCCACTGACACCAAAGATGGGCACTATTTCCCCCCACCCCTGACCCCCAATGATGGGGCACTATTCTCCTCCTCCACCACACTGACATCAATGATGGCCACTATTCACTAGCACTATGACCCTCCTCCCACTGACACCAAGTGATGGTGCACTATTCCTCCCCCCCACTGACACCAGTGATGGGCACTACTCCCCCCACTGACTCACCAGTGATGGGGCACTACACCCCCCACTGACACCAGTTAGATGGGCACAACTCCCCCCACTGACAACCAGTGGATGGGGCAGCAGCTACTTTTTACTTCCCGATTGTCCCACTGACACCAGTGATGGGGCACATACTGCCCCCCACACGACTACCAGTGATGGGGCACTACTCCCCCCCACTGGCA